AAAGAAAGAAAGAAAGAAAGAAAGAAAGGAAGGAAGGAAGGAAGAAAAATGTTTGCTTGTGTATGTACACATATGCAACCATGGGAGCATAACAATTATGAGAGGGTGTACACCTTGAAAGAAAGATCCAAGAAAAGTCAAAGACAGTCCTCAAATTCTTCTTTTATTATGTATTACATCAATTGTATTCTTGATGCAATACAGAAACTCTAAAGTTTAGTTAAACAACGTGCTTGGATTTTAGAAGAGGAAAGCCAAATCCACTTCTAAAACCAGCATTAGTTTATTTGAATAGGAACTAGGAAATAAAGAGAAGAGGAGTTCTCTGAGAGACAGTTGTAAAGTTTCCCATACCATATGGCATGATCCTTTGTTTGATGGTTATAGCTACCAGTGTTCTATTAGATCTCTCAACCACTGCTTGTCCTGTAGGATTGTGTGGTATAACGGTGACATGCTTTATGTTATAATATCTGAAAAATTGTTCCAATTTTGTAGAGACATATGCTGGAGCAATGTCAGTTTTTATTTGTGTAGGTATACCCATAACTGCCATCACTTCTAGCAGGTGTGTAATAACAGAATCAGCTTTTTCAGAGTTAAGAGCAGTAGCCCATTGGAACCATGAGAATGTGTCTAAGGTATGATGCACATATTTCAAATTTCCAAACCCTGCAAAGTGAAAGACATCCATCTGCCAAACCTCATTTCTCTGAATGCCCTTATAATTACAACCTGCTGGCAATGGAGTTTGAATATAAAAGGAACAAATAGGACAGTTTCTCACTATCTCCTTGGCTTGTTGCCAAGTGATGGAGAAGTCCTTTTTTAAGCCTTTGCTATTTACATGATGTTTCTTAAGAAATTTTGAGGATTCTAGCACATCTAGCACACTTCCAATTAATAAACGATCAATCTCATTATTGCCTTGTGCTAGTGGGCCAGGCAGAGCCGTATGGGACCTTATATGTGTAATATACATAGGATTACTTCTGTTTCTGATAGTTTCCTGTAATTGTAAAAACAGAGAAGTTAATTCTGTATTATCAGGAACGAATTCTGCAGTCTCAATGTGTAACACGACTCTCTCTGAATATTGAGAATCTGTAACTATTTTGAGAGGTTCTGTAAAATCCATAAGTACCATGAGAATTGCATATAATTCTGCCTTCTGTACAGATGGACTTTGAACTACTTTACTTACCTCACCTGCTTTATAACC